TGACAAGTAAAAAAAAAAAATAATTTTTCTTTTTTTATTAAATGTTCATCTGTTTAACCACTTATTAAAGCGGAGCTCTACCTAAAAGGGGAAGTTCCGATTTAAGGTTCTGTCCCCCCCTCGCTCCCCGTTAAGGATTGACACCTTTGGGGAGCTGGGGGGGGAGCAGGTACCTGAATTTACAGGTACACGCTCCCACTTCCGGTGCGATCACCTAAGGCAGTCGGAAGTTGTCCTCCCCCCCCTCCATCTTCTGGGACACGTGAAAGTGCAGCACTACTCACGCATGCGCAGTGAGGCCATAAGCTGTCACAGCTGGGTGTCCACACTGAAGATGCCGGGGAGAGAAGACTGCCGGTGAAACCAGCTGTGGCGAGGACATTGCTGGACCGAGGGACAGGTACACGCTCCCACTTCCGGGGCGATCACCCAAGGCAGTCGGAAGTTGTCCTCCCCCCCTCTGTCTTCTGGGACACGTGACAGGTCCCAGAAGACTACGGGACCATTCACAAAGTGCAGCACTACTCGTGCATGTGCAGTGAGGCCATAAGCTGTCACAGCTGGGTGCCCACACTGAAGATGCTGGGGAGAGAAGACTACCAGAGAAACCAGCTGTGGTGAGGACATTGCTGGACCGAGGGACAGGTAAGTGTCTGTATTTTAAAAGTCAGCAGCTACAGATTTTGTAGCTGCTTTTATTTTTTTTTAATTCAACTGGACCTACGCTTTAACCCTTGGTTTACGCTAATCAGCTCTAATTAACTCCTTATTCTCCTTCTCTATTGAATTATTATCTTCCTACTGATTGTTTTTTGTTAGTTTCTATTTTATTAAAGTGGTTCTAAACTTTCTGTCTGCAGAGGCCCCCTCAATCCTTACCTGAGCCCCCCGATCCAGCGATGTTCTTGACAGCCTCTGGTGTCTGGGGACTCTTCCTCCTCAGAGAGCGGAAGGCAGGGCTGAGCCGCGGCTCTATGTGTCCTTTCGGATGCATAGAGAAGCAGCTCAGGGACAAGCACAAAGAAGTGCCCCCAGGGCGAGTGGCTTTCCCTAGGGGCACTACTCACGGAGGAGGAGCCAGGAGTGCCAGAGGGGAGCTGAAAAGAAGAGGATCAGGGCTGCTCTGTGAAAAATCACTGCATAGAGCAGGTAAGCATAGGCATGTTTGTTATTTGAGAAAAGAAAAAAAAGAAGCTTTAACATCACTTTAACCAATAATATTTAAACTTTTTTTTTTGTTTGTTTGTTTTGTGTGTTAATATTTTTACTCCTTTAACATATATTTACAAATTTCACTTTTAAAAAAAAGTGAAAAATTGAAAAAAAAACCAAAACACTTTATTTCAATTGTGAATAAATTTGCAATGCTTTGTACCAGAATGATAATTTTAGTGTAATTTTAAATAGAACAAATTAAAGAAAAGAATGTGTACTTTTATGTGCAGTAACACAATTCATTTTTAAACTAACACTGCTCAAAAAAAGAAAAAGCATGTTTCGTTACGTTTTGTTACATTTTGTTAAATTTAAGGATTGCGAACAAAAAATAATTGTTGCAAGACAATGTTCATGAAAAGAAAGCCTTGTTTGTATATATATATATATATATATATATATATATATATATATATATATACACACCACATATACCACACGATTGCCAGTTAAAGTAGCGCAGTATTGAATAGCAAAAAAATACCATGGTCATGAAAAGGGTAAAAAAAACCTTCAGGAGCTCAAGTGGTTACAAGAAAATCATTTGTTCTGTTATCTTAGGAGAAAAATTATTGTGCTTTTCCCTTCGGATATTGTCACATGAACTGTCATGACTGGCTCTCAGAAGCTGTATAATAACGAATAAATTATCGGGCGGTGGCTCCAAATGCGATTTTTTTTTTTCATCTGATTTTTTCATTGTGTGAACTAGGCATAACTGCAGTCAAAACAAAAGCAGAACAATGAACACAAAGGACATAATGTCTAGTCAGTAGAATGCTGATTTCTCTGTCATTTATTTTGACTGCACTTAGGCTTTAAATATATACATTAAAGGGACATTAAATAATGGTGTGGTGGTTATCTTTATATAGGCACACATTTTTAAAATCCTGCAAATGATCTGTTTAGTTACTGTATGTACTATAAACGGTGCAGAATTCTCCTTTTTAAGCAACTTTGCCAGTGAAAACTAAATCCAGGTTTAAAAGAACTGCTATTTTCCACTCTGCCTGTGACATAGCACATGTGGATGCAAAAAGCTAAACTTGTGAGTCACAAGATTTAAAGTTGGGAATGACTGAGAACGGTGGAATTTTTAGCCGTTGAACACCACAAACAATATCAGCATTCAGAGAACAGAAAAGGAGCCCAAAGGAAAATGATGAAACTGTAAGGAATGCTGAGCCTCTATGCTCTAACCATTTCAAATAAAAAGGGTACATACTAGCTTTTACAGCAAGTTAGCCAGGATATAAAAGGTAAAGTGTTACTAAACCCACAACAGTAAAATCAGTCTGTATATGCAGTAAAGCATGCTTGTTATAGTCACTGAGGAACCTGAGGGGTTAATCATTGTGTAAAAAGGCTGTTTGATCCTGACTTCTCTGCCCCTCCTTGTTAAAATGTCCACGCTGATAAGACAGACTGAACTGTAGCCCTTCTGCACATGCTCAGTTTGGTGAGTATTTATTTGGGGGGGGGTGCAAGTAATCAGCACAGGGCCAATCAGCACTGCCCAGACAGAGGCTCAGGGGTTTTGCATCCTCCTAGAGCAGAAAGAAAACTCCTCCTACAAGCTTTAACCAGTGCTCAGCTGAAGTTACAAGACTGCTCTAACTGCTGATGAGAAACGGTATTTAGCAGTTTATATTCACTAAAATAATTGCATTTCATGTTCTGTGTACTGTGTGAGACCAGATATAGTGAATGCAGGGTCTTGGGTTTAGTAAAGTGTATGTTACCCTCAAAAAATTGTCTCATATATATATCTGTGATTTAATGTTGTGTAAATCCAGCCTCTTTCTTTTTGAATGCTGCAAATCCTCGAAGGAGGATCTTGGAGAAGCTATCACTGCCTCTTCTCAGTTTTTAATTCTGACCACCCCAAGCATGGAAGCAAAGAGGAGCTAATTTTTCTCCACTGTAGTTAAGTAGTATAGCTTGGTCAGAGATCCATCCACTCCTTTGTGATTGGACAATGAGGGGCATCACCACTCCTCCTGTCAACAAACATGTAGGGGTACAACACTATGCTGTGTAAAAGAATGTAATTGTCAAAAAGTACCAGGCTTTCATTCTTCAAGTTAAAAAATAATTGTACATTTATTTTTAATAGTACATCCTTAGATTAGAGGATCTTTTATACAAGGGGCGTTCAAGTCAAATAGGGACTTTTGAGTTTATATAATAAAAGAAAACATTTCAAGGAGTGGAAACTGCATTTACTTTTTTTTTTTACATTCTCCCCTGCTACATTTATACACTTATCCCAGTATTTAACTAATGACTGGAAAGCTTCGGCATTGAAAGATTTGTCAGTATGCCTGAACTATCCTAGGACATCCTTCTTCACTTCATCATCAGTGCTGAAATGCTGACCTCCAAGGAACTCTTTTAGGGGTCCAAACAGGCAGAAATCACTCGGAGCAAGGTCTGGGCTTTGAGGATGTGGCAATACCTCCCAGCCGAGCTGCTGTAATGTGCATGAAGTGCGTTGAGTAGTATGAGCTTGTGCGTTGTCCTGGAGAAACAGGACACCCTCAGTGATCAAACCAGGCCATTTTGTACACTCCTTCAATGCAGTGCAGAGTTCAACTCTTCTGTGTTGGTCAAAAGCAGAAAACTGTCTTGGTATCAAGTGTGTACTAACTTGCAAAATGCAAATGTTCATGAATGAACATTTGCAACATGAATTGTGTTCACCATTCCCACAAAAAGATTTGTCTCTTCTGCAATTTCAGGACTTCTGTGGGCTGGGAACCACCTTGGCCAGGATTGTCACTGAGAGATGTACAGACATCTTTTAAACATTTAGAAATGTCCTATTGCGGCTGAGCATCTTATCACTGAACTGTGCTTGAAGTCTTCTGTAGATATCCAGGGATTTTCTGCCTTTGTTAACAAGAAACTTCATCACCACATGCTGGTCCGTGCACACACTAACTCTGTTGTCTGCCATCTTGATTAACGGTCTCTAGACTGACCTGTGACACGTATGCCACCTATCAGTAATAGGACACACTTGCCACTTACTACTGCATGTAATACAGCCATGCTGGCATCCCTTTTAATACCTGTAAAATTAAAAGTCCCGGTTTGACTTGAACACACCTCATATGTACAGAGACATTTTGGAGTCGGTTCCAGGCCTGCCATCAGCCACTTGCAAGGTGGTCTGAAGGAATGTTTCTTCAAAGAGACCAACAGGCACAAGGACCTGGCATGTACGGCGATCCAAGGGGGGTTGCCACTCAGGGCATTTATGCATGCCAGGAACCTGAGCAGATACAGGCACTGCCCTTTTTACATCATCCAGGAGGAAACTGCTCAGCACAATTTCTGGGAGTGCTCTTTTGCTCAGGACCTGTGCTGAGGGCCTTGGAACCAGAACTCAAGGACTTTGTGCCACAGACTGCCATCAGACACTTCGGTGTGTTGAATGGACTTTTACCCTGGAGGACATTGATGGCGCCTGGCGGGTGCTGTGTTGCTTCAAGGATGCTTTATGGTGCTCCAGGAAGCTCCTCATCCACCAGCGGCAAAAGATGTCCATTGAGGACTGTCGCAGACTGGTCTACAGTCTGCTCAGAGACTATAACTAGATGGACTTTAACCACCTTCCGCCCGCCATATAGTAAAATGACGGGCGCAAGGTGGTTCTCTCATTCTGATAGGACGTCATACGACGTCCTTCCATTCTCACCGCGCATGCGCGGCTCAGGGAGCACGCAGCGCGACGATCTCCGGTGCGCTGTGTCCCTCAGACACAGCGGATCACGGAAAGAGCCGAAGATGTCGGCTCGGTCATGTGATCAGCTGTGTCCAATCACGGCTGATCACATGTAAACACAGAAATGCCGGTTATCGGCATTTCTCTCCTCTCGAGCTGTCACGCTGACAGCTCGTGAGGAGAGCAGAGCCGGTAATCGGCATCCCTCAGAGGGGACATGTACACTGATCATCAGGGCACTGATGACCAGTGTGCCCTGATGATCAGTGTGTCCCCAGAAGTGCCACCTCTCAGTGTCCATCAGTGCCAGCAGTCAGTGCTCATCAGTGCCACGTGCCAGTGCCCATCAGTGCCACATCAATGCCACATATCAGTGCATACCAGTGCACATCAATGCCACATATCAGTGCCCATCTGAGCTGCCTTTCAATGTCACCCATCAGTGCCACCTATCAATGCCAATCAGTGCCACCTATCAGTGCTGCCAATCAGTGCCACTATCAGTGCCACCTATCAGTGCTGCCAATCAGTGCCGCCTATCAGTTCCGACTAACAGTGCCAGTCAGTGCTGCCTATCAGTGCCAGTTAGTGCCGCCGCCTATCAGTGCTGCCTGTCAATACCCATCAGTGCAACCTACCAGTGACTCCTCATCGGTGCCACCTATCAATGTCCATCAGTGCAGACTATCAGTGCCCATCACTGCAGCCTCATTAGCGCACATCAGTGGAGAAAAATCACTTATTTACAAAATTGTATAACAAAAACTAAGAAAAAAATTTTTTTTCAACATTTTCAGTGGTTTTTGGTTTGTTTAAGAAAAAATTAAAATCCCAGAGGTGATTAAATATCACCAAAAGAAAGCTCTGACTCAAAAAAATGATAAAAATTTCATATGGGTACAGTGTTGCATGACCACGCAATTGTCATTCAAAGTGTGATAGCGCTGAAAGCTGGAAATTGGCCTGGGCAGGAAGGGGGTATAAGTTCCCTGTAGGCTAGTGGTTAAGGAGGAAGAGGATGTTTGAAGATCTGCCCTTCCCCCTACGTGTCTTTGTCCTTTCAATAAAGCTTGGGGCTGTGAATTCTGTTTCCCCTCCCTCTGCCCTCCTTCCTACCCCCCCATCACACCCGATGCTTATTTGACTTGTTTTTGTACAGTCGGTAATGTTTTGTATGCTGCGGTTTATGTTGCGGTGCCATGTAGGATATGTGGGGTTTAACTCAGACACTGCACATCTGACATTGCGCCACCAGGTTACTGTGGTGGAACCTTACGGGACCACAGTCTGGGGGTAAGTGGCGTCATGCATGACATGATGGTTTGGGGAATGTTTTGCTCCCCACATCACGTTAGGCATCATACCATTGAGTGAATGTATTTATTGTATGATTGGAACTATATTGTTTGTGGTGTATTTATACGCTGCGTCACAGTACAGGGTGGAAAGTACCCCGATTGAGTATCTTGTTCTTTTATACTTATGTAAAAAATATATTTTTCAAAAAAACACGCTAATGCTTGAAAAAAAATGTGCATGCTTGATTGCAACACACCTCACTGGTTCGATGTGTGCCTAGCCTTAGGGCATATTCTAAGCTTGTAAAAGGCTAGGACTAGGAAAACGTGTGACCCCTAACAGACATTTATACTATATATTGGACTTAAAACTGAAGCTAATGAAAAGTTGCCGGTTGGATTTGAAGAATTTTTTTTTAGGTTGCTGCACCTGTAGGAAAAAAATTTGGTTGTAGCAGCTCTCCGGCACACAGCTATATACAGTTGAAATACACATATGTAAACTGATTTACCTGCCATTTTCTACATCTGTTAAGGCAGTCTTGTGCTTTCGACCAATTCATCAGCCATAAAATGAAGTGAAGAGGTGACACAATAAGTATCTCTGCCTGTCTGTCCAGTGTGGGGGATCCTTCACATACAGTATATGGATTTCATGTGCAATTAGTTGTTTGCTAAATCCCTTTAAGGAATGTCATCTGCATGTGTGAATGCATTACATGCCAATGTAAACTGCATACATAAATGCAATTCTATTGTTTGCTTCTGATCACTAGAGTCCTGGTAAAATGTTACACACAATAGCAGGATGTTGTCTTTCAGCTAATAGCGGCTCTGCCCTTAAGTTACTCAATAAATGACACAGAAAATTCCTATCCTGGAATTCACAAACTACTTGTTTCAGTTGACCAAGTCAAGCAATGTGAACAGGTAAATGTGTACATTGTACAAATACTTATATGTTGTCCAAAAGAGCAATCCAGCTGTGATTGTGTTTTTACAATGAGATAATATATAAGAAAATATGTGTCACTAGCATATGTACACTAACCACTTTCCTGCCGGGCACTTATACCCCCTTCCTGCCCAGGCCAATTTTCAGCTTTCAGCGCTGTTGCACTTTAAATGACAATTGCGCGGTCATGCAACACTGTACCCATATGAAATTTTTATCATTTTTTTTCACACAAATAGAGCTTTCTTTTGGTGGTATTTAATTGCTGCTGGCCATTTTATTTTTTGCGCTATAAACAAAAAAAGAGAAAAAAATAACGTTTTTCTTTGCTTCTATTATAAAATTTAGAAAACAGGTAATTTTTCTCCTTCACTGATGTGCGTTGATGAGGCTGCACTGATAGGCAGAAATGATGAGCTGGCACTGATATGCAACAATAATGGGCACTGACAGGCAGCACTGATGTGTGGTACTGACTGGCGGCACTGCTGGGCAGCACTGAGGGGCACAGGTGGATGGCACTACTAGGCACTGATGGGCACAGGTGGGTGGCACTGATCATCAGTGCAGGTCTGTCCTCTGACAATTGCTGGTTATCAAAATAAAGCAAGGTGCAGCGCTAAAATGATACATTAAAACATATGGACATGTTATATTCAAACATCCTCATATAAAATACAATAAAATAACATAAACCAATACCAAGGTGCAAGTAAAAAGGTCACCTAATGGTGACTAATAGGTGATTGAAGTATGCAAATGGCCGCCGGGGCCCTCGTGGCGCCGGTCGGCATGATGTCACACCACTGTAGCCTCTCTCTGACGCGTTTCGTGCGAAGGCACGTAGTCATAGGGGGTTAGCTTAAGGATATCACACTATGACTACGTGCCTTTGCACGAAACGCATCAGGGAGAGGCTACAGCGGTGTGACATCACGCCTACCGGCGCCACGAGGCCCTGGCGGCCATTTGCATACTTGTATGGGTCAGTATTTTTCCTTGCTCCTACCTGTACCTATTTGGAATAAACACTTCTTGTCATAAGGATAACACACTATCTGGCCTCCTTTTGTTCTTTGAGCTCTGGTGGGAGCCATTTACATCTGCAGAGTGGCTATTTCCAAATGTGGCAGCACTACGGAGCAGTGAGGGGCATTTGACCAGATCTGACCAGACCCACATAAGGATCCTTGATGTCCTGAGATTATCTACTCTAAATGCGCATTGGGATTGCGTATGTGGTGAGTGCGCAATCTTTATACATCGATCACCTCACCCACGGATCCAGCCATTGGATTTTTGAAGATCATTTGGGATCTTTTTCTACTCACGCTATAGACTGTATTTGGTCTAGTGCCCAATCACCTATTAGTCACCATTAGGTGACGTTTTTACTTGCACCTTGGTATTGGTTTATGTTATTTTATTGTATTTTATATGAGGATGTTTGAATATAACATGTCCATATGTTTTAATGTATCATTTTAGCACTGCACCTTGCTTTATTTTGATTATTTTGGAGGTTTATATGGTGCCTTTTTGGTGTTCAGCTGCTGTTTTCTTCCTTTCAACTCATTTATAATTTTACTCTAGCGCTCACTTACCCTGTGATTTACAATTGCTGGTTATCGGCAGAACTGTCCTCACGCTGTCACAGCGTGAGGAAAGTGCAGCTGATAACCGGCGACTCCATTTACCGGTGATCTGCTGTGTCATTGGACACAGCTGATCACGTAGTAAAAGGCCACTGTGATTGGCCATTTACCACATCACGTGACCAGCTGCGTCCGTAGGACACAGTGTACATGGAGATCGCCAGGGGCGAGGGGAGGGTGCGTTCTTGGAGGACGTCATATAACGCCCTCCCAGAACTGGCCAACCGTGCTGTAGCCGTCATTTGGCTATAGCGCGGTTGGCAAGTGGTTAAAGTAGAACCTTACCCATAACAACGTGATCCAAAAATAACATTCTGTAGCAAGGAACAAACATTCCACATTAATATTTACATGTATGCTACCAAAATGAGTGTGTGCTGTAAATTGCCTCCAGCACTGTTCCTGTTTCTTCTTGCTGAAGGCTGCCATTTTGCTGAAGCCCAGAGCCCCTGAGCAGCAGTAAATATTTATATAATTTTTAGTCCAGTTCTTCACAACCTACTAGATTTGTATGTTATGCTCCGCAGATATGTGAATATTTTTTCTCTGATGTCAGTTTGATATTGTTAATAATATGGTTAAAGTGATTGTAAAGATAGTTTTTTTTTTTTACATTAATTTTACCTTAATGCATTCTACACTTTTTTAAACAATGTGCAATAAAAATACTCTACTCCTCAGAAACGTATTGCTAAATATTGGATAAAATCTGAAACGTCTGCCTGCCTTGGCAGAATATAAAAGTAAAGTTTAAGTGGTTGTAAAGGTAGGTTTTTTTACCTTAATGCATTCTATGCATTAAGTATAAAAACGATCAGTGTGCAGCTCCCTCCCCCCCTACACTGAGCCCAATCTCGATCCAACACTGAGCCCGAGAACAGTATCTCTCTCTCCTCATTGGCTCAGAAACTGCAGCAGGAGCCATTGGCTCACAACCACAGCCAATGAGGAACAGGTGTGGTGATGCGCCACACTGTGTGTGTCAATGGACACACACAAATCGCGGCTTGGGATCAGGGGCGGACTGACAACTCATGGGGCCCCCGGGCAATAGGGGATCATGGGGCCCCTGTGTCCTTGCCCAAATTCAAAAAAGCCTATGAAAAAGGTACCAGGGGCATCTCATGGGGCCCCCTACTGACCCCAGGCCCTCGGGCAGTGCCCGAGTCTCCAAATGGTCAGTTCGCCCCTGCTTGGGATTGAGCCTGCACAGGTGCCCCTATAGCAGGCAGCATTTCCAGTGCATTTTTCCTGTTTGCATTTCCTTTGAGGTCATTTCCTCCTTATTCCTTCTTTAGGCTTTTACTGTACATGCACTACATTGTGTTGCATTTTTGTGCATTTGCAGTGTGGAAAAACACAACTTGCTGTACTTTTTCACCACACATTTTTTTTTTTTTTTTTTAAAGTCCGCAAACGTGCAGCTATAACGAAAAAAACCCGTAAGTGTTCACAAAAAATGTGCAAGTGCAAAACACCACACGAAAAAGTGCACTTAGGGGTGTGTTTGTCCTACCCCCGGAAGGGTTGGATCGTTCACCCGATCCCCCGGGGCACGAAGCTCCTGACAGGGACCAGGTTCCCATTTGGTCCTCCTGGCCAAAAGGCCTGGTGGACCACCGTT